CGCCACCGGCTGGCGGAGCACCCCTGTGGCGAGGAGGTCGGAGCCCACGCTGCCTCCTGCACCTGCTCTGCACCATCGCTAAATCGCCTTGACCAGGGACGGTGCGCAACGTCCTGCACTATTTCCAGGGCCAGTTACTGAGTTCTGGGGCCCAGAGGGTGGCCCAGGGAAGTTCATGTGGGGTCAACTCTGCCCCTCCTGGGCAATGCAGGTTTGATCCCTGAGGAGCCGGGGGTGGGGGGTGTTGCTGACAGAAACAGCGTGGCAGCAAGCAAGAGGGGGAGGTGGCAGTGGCCGAGGGAGCTGTAGGCAGGGACACCTCCGTCACCTCCGATGCTCTGTAGGGACAGCAGGCAGGGGTAGGTGGCTGTCCTCTTTCCTGCCCCTTGGTTTCCCCTGCCCCAGGCCCTGGGCAGGAAGATGCCTGGAGGGTTCCTGCTGCCTTGCCCAGCCTTGTTGTGTGGGAGCTCCCCACCACTGGCTCTGCTGTTCTCTTAGAGGACAGGCCCCCCTCCCCGGGAGTGCTCGGCACACACAGGTCGGGAGAGTCTCACATGAACGTGGGGTGGAGGGGGCGCTCTGGGCCCTGGACAAGGTCTCGTGTCTGGTGGCAACTAGGGACCTACCAGCAAATGACCTGCCTCCCCTCGCATCTGTGAAGCTGACAGCAAGATGAGGAGGTGCCACACGCTGCTGGGGACGGACACATTGCAGGGCGTGTGGGGGCCATGAGCTCAGGGAGCCACGTCAGCCCCTGGCCCCGCACCTACAGGTCGGATCACAGTGGCCGGGTCCCACCCCCGCAGGGATTGGGATGGGGCCTGTGCCCGTGCAGAAGCCAGGCCGACAGCCGCAGGGCCAGCAGCAGCTGCCACAGGGAGTTGGTCCTCTGCGGGACCGCCCCTGCTGGGACGGGGCGAGGCTCAGTGGAGGCGCAGGAGCCCAGGCCCCCACCTGCTGCGGACGGCATGAAGTGATGGCTGACGAGCACCCGGGACGAGGGGCGTGAGCCAGGTGCCCCGTGTGCCTGACAGGTCCCCACACGGCATGCCACGCCTCGGCAGACGGCTGCGTCCCCATGGGAGGCCGGAGACAGCGGTGGCGACAAGGCAAGCAGATTGCCGCACAGCTTGGGAAAGCCCGGCAGAGGCCCGCCACTACCAACGCCCCCTGCAGC